TATAATCGATGAATCAACAACCTCTATAAATTGCATGCTATGAGTAAATAGTGCAACTAATTAATTACAAGTAAGCAATAAATAATTATAATATAGAAATGATTAATAGTGATAGAAAACGATTTATATTAAAAATATAACTAGATATATATATAGTTTAATATATAAGTATAATCCTTTATCGCATAGTTCAAATAAAGTTTTATATTACACAATACTATCAACTTACAAATCTCTTTAAAACGATATATAGGATAGTAAATTCCGGTCATCTAAAATATCATTTTTGATCTATCTAAATTAAATGTAAATATATTATTATTTTAAGTTCTTTAATTGCAATAAATATGCATCAATAATGACACTTTGAATGACTGAAATTTACTATATGTCTAACTATTATGTATAAGAATTAAGTTGGTGACGCTATTAATATTAATAAATCTTAGCAATAATATCGTATATGAATTGTATCTCCGGAAATTGTTATTATACTTTATATTTAATGACACAAGTAAATTTTAGTATAAATATATGTACTTGCGTTATTATACTTTATATTTAAATTTATGTAACATAAGTGGTTGACATCATTAGATATTAATTTGTTTTCTTCTAGTGTAATAGATTTAAAAAATATAAATACAAGTTTAACTAAAAGGTAACGATAAAAGAATTTTTAATACAATGGAAAACCAACCTAAAAATAGTACACCACTACCACCATATTCTGTTGCACCTATTACTCGTTCCCAGTTAAATCTCTCTCGACTATTAAATACTAACAATATCGCTGAACCTCATCAACCACCTAACCCTAATGATGATAGTACATCTTTTGATTCAACCACTAGAAGCATTAGAAGTATTCAACAAATATATTCAAATATGGTCAGATCTTCCTTACAAGTATCTCGACATCAATCACGCCAACTATCAACCACCCGTTCCTTATCTCACCAGCCTTCCTTCACTCCTCAAAATAAACCTACTTCCTACCCTGAATCTAGATATCATTCTAGATTTCACCATACTGATTATAATCGATCAATATCTCCAGCTTGACGACCTTCTTCAAGATCATGATAAGAGAGAGATCACCAACATATGATAGATCATCCAATCAAAATCGTACACATAGTCAAAGTAGTATGTATATAAAGGTTTTTTTTTTAATATTTGTCGTTAATTTTTTTTTTTTTTTTGGAAAATTTTTTTTTTTTTTTATTTATTTTTATTGTGTGCATTAAGCAAACTACAACCACCCTGATCGCTCTGATCACCCTGACCACTCTGGCTGCCCTGACCGCCATGACCACTATGACCGCCATGACCACCATCAGTATCGTCAACAAGTTGATAAGTGAATGTTCGCCCAACTTAAGCATTTATATTTAATGCTCAAAAGACTTGAGGAAAGTACAAATGAAATTAAAGCCAGGCTAGGTCGCCTGGAAAGGCATCAAGAAAAACAAAAGAATGATCTCTCTGTGCAAGTAATAGATGTAAGTGTTTTGGGTTAGCAACAATTTAGATCTAGCATGTTTAAGCTGTATATAGCATTTAGGATCTAGTGTGTTTAAGTAGTATATTTTGTCTAGTATATAATACATATATTGTTTTTTAAAAATATATATAGGACATGTTTACCTGCGTGGCCAAGCAGCTCTTCCTGTATAACATATATCCTAGTCAAAATGATTTGAAGGATGCATTTAAACAATGCCTTAAAGAAAGGTATCCTGAGTTAATGCATAGTTTAAGTTCCAATTAATATATCAATAGGTTTCATAGTGAATAGTTCAGCCCTGTATATATCGATATCTATTGTTTTTTAAAATATATTTCTTTTAATTATGACTTATTTACTAATTTTTACAATAGCTTTTGCAAAAAATAAAGAACCTGCAAGGTGCATCAGTTCAAAATGTAAGGGCAGCAGTATGTGCATATTCGGTTGTAAAAGATTACCATCATGAAAAAAAAATGCTGCACCAGCCGATGTAGTAAGTTGGAAGCAAGTGAAGAAGTTTTGGATTGTTATCATGCGCTCTTTGAAATAAACAAGGAAGGTGTCTTTTGGATATCAATAATTGTGAGAGCAGCTTTTTCCGAGGTTGCTGTACCTACACTCTCAAATGAGCATTGCGCTTTATGCTCGCAGTCTGTGATATTTTACTTAATCCCAAGTCCAGAAGTGTCACATGTTCGGAAAAACGTCTTATGTGTCGTATCAAAGGATATCTTGTAAGTGCATTATTAATTGCATATGCTTTATTAATAGTAATTAATTAATTATTTTTTAATATAGAACAATTTCGGTAATGGTGGTCCATCATATAAAACAGCCGAATCGATACTAAACAATGAGAATCATAGTTCTTCATGACAAGCATCACCCCAGTATGACCCACCACCCCAGTATGACCCGTTACCCCAGTATAAACCTGAAGCAGATTCATTATCATTTCAGCAATCATCACAACATCAAATGGAACTTTTACAGGAGGATGCTGATAATTTATTTGGTTGCAATGATTAAATTTTTGCTTCAAATGTTTTTTTTTGAATTAGTTTACATTTGCTAGCAGTTATT